ACAAAAACAAAAAAGAGAGATGGAAACTATAATGGGGCGCGAAGTTGGGGAGAAGTTGGGGTCCTTAGCTTTTGGCTCAGCTGAATGGCCCTGTTCAGGAGCCAGCAGGATATATGTGTCTGGAATCAGGGGCAAGGCTGAGACCTTGGGACAGTGCAGGAAATGATACTGGTGTCAAGTGACAAAACTGAACCTGAACTGCCTTAACAAACAAAAAGGAAATGTGGAGGCTCAGATAATTGAGAAGTCAAGAGACACTGCCTTCAGGCATGTTTGGATCCAGATGCTCAGGAGTCTTTCTTCATTGGCTCTGCTCTGCTCTCTGTGCTGGCTTCACATCAGGGAGATGTGCTTTTTATTTTGAGACAGGGTCTTGCTTCATTACCAAGTTGCCCAGGCTAGGCTTGAACTTGTGAACCTTCTACCTCAGCTACCCAGAGTGCTGGGATTCTATTCCTGTGCTGCTGTGCCCGGTTCAGGTGACACTTCTTTTTTTGACCAAATGATATCATGTTTATTATAGACATAAGTTGTATCTAGATTCTGTTCACTTCTTTCAGCCCATTGCTACTACTCTCTGCTTTCCTCCCTCCCCTTCACTTTCCTTCTTTTCTTTTTATCTTTTCTTTCCTTCTTCTTCTCCCCCCTTCTGTTTCTTTTTTAAAATTTAATTTTATTGGTACATTTTAGGTATACAATATAATGACATTCATCATTGGAAATCTGCACCTTTACATAATCTCTCTTGCTTCTTATTTTTTCCCCATTCCCCTGCCCTCTCTTCAACCCCTCCATCCCTCCCTATTTACAGAGACTTTATTTCCATGTTTTCATTTTCCCATATTCATTCCATTCCCTTCTTTCCTTTCCCCTACCCCTCCCACTTCCCCTTCCCCTTTGCCCCTTTTCTTCCTATTTCACATTATCTATTATATCAGGTGACACTTCTTAAACCATGGCCCAGGGCTCCAGGGAGCCAGGCAGCAATTGCCTTTACGACCTGGCCAGAAATCCTCACAGAATGATTCTACCACTGTCTGTCGGCTGGCTGGTCACTGGGGTTGGGTCAGATTCAAGGGGAGGAACACAGACTTGTCCCTCATGAGGAGTGTTCCTAGACATTATGGAGGAGTTTTAACATGGCCATGCACTTCGTCAGATCACATGAGGAGAAAGAACCAGAGAAACATCCAGAAAGGCGGTGGGGGTAGAGAAGTGAGGGGGGATGTTAGGGCCTGGCACGTGGCATGGGACTGAGTTACAGAAACTTCAGGGAAACTTCTCTGAGGAGGACCCGCCTGCTCAGCACTGCCAAATGCTCTAGACACAAAGCAGGATCACGGGAAGTGTTGGAAGTGGCAACAAGGAGACAGTGGGGATCTTGGGCAAGGGTTAGGGTGGACAGTGGTCTGTTGGTGAGGGAGGACAGGGAATTGATCTGGAAACAGTGGGTGGGGGAGGCCACACTGTGTACTCGGGCAATGGAGGAGGCCCTGTAGGAGATAGGAAGGGATAAGGGGCTATGCAGAGGGAAATGAGCAGACCTGGAACCTGCAAAGGAGGCAGCCCGTGTCCTCTGAAGCCCTGGGAAGGAGAGAGGGCAGCTACTGGGAGGAGATACAGGGGAGAGGTTGTGAGTTGAACTCAGGAGTCAAAACAGGTCCAGGGATGAGCAAGACAGTGCACACCTGTAATCCCAGCACTCTGGGAGGCTGAGGCAGAGCCGGGGCAACTTAGTGACTTAGCAAGACACTGTTGTCAAACAAAAAATAAAAAGGCCCAGGACTGTAGCCCAGTCTGAAGGCCCTGGGTTCAATCCCCAGTACCACAAAGCTAAAAAACAAACAAACAAACAACAGATCCAAGTATGAATCTCGGTTCTGCCACTTGATGCTTACATGATTTACCCACTGTGAGCCTAAGTTTCTCTAAAACAGAGATAATATAAATATGTGCTTCTCAAAGGAATAGAAATTATGAAATGAGCTGTGCATTAATACCAGGAATGGACAAGAACTCAGTGAATTATTGCTGATACTATTACTGTTCATTTGCTTCATGGGTGAGTGGTGTGGGAAGCTGGGTGACATGGCACCAGATAATCTGTCCCCTAGTGAGAAAAGCAAGAGGCATTATCTAGTATGAAAGGAGAAGGTTTTAGTTCAACAGGAGGCTTAAAAAGGGTTGTGAAGTGGATACACTTGTCCAGGCTAGCAGTGGTGGTGCGTGCCTATAATCCTAGCTACTCAGGAAGTTCAGGGAATACATTTAGCAGTTGAACCAAACACGGATAAGGGAACAAGGAGGCCATATGTGCACATGACAAGTAGTCACAATCAAATAAATCCAGAGTGTCCAGGCAACTTTTCTAAGTCACACAGCAAATCCTCTGCTATCCTCCAATGCAGGCTTCTTTCCATTCTAGGTTTGTATTCAGAGACCTGGGACTTCAGGTTTTCTGGAGCAGAAAGAGCAGAACTTGACATTTAGTTGAAAGGAAACCCTGCAAACAACTGTGGGTGAGAAACTGGGTTGCTAAGAAACCCCCTTGGGAGGGGAGAGAGTTGACATCCATCACTAGGCAACCTAGAAGCCAGGCAGTCAGGTTTGCCTACAGATGCCACTCCCTCCTTCTCAGACTCCTGGAATGCCAGGCTGAGATTCTCGGGAGGCTTCCAGCCCATCCCCTACCTGGACAGCTGGGGACCCTGAGGCCTCAAAAGGCAATATGATCAGCCCAAGCCTCCTCCAATTCCTCAACAAGAGCAAAGACAAGTGGCCTGGGAGGGTACTGTCACTGGGGTGTGACCAGGTGTGGTCGAGGTAAGAGTTTAAATAGTTGAAGATGAATCTATAAAAGAGTAAATGAACCAGGCTTGGTGGTGCAGGCCTTTAATCCCAGGTACCCAGCAGGCTGAGGCAGCTGGATCACAAGGTTCAGCCCAGCCTGAGCAACTTGAGAAGACCCTGTCTCAAATTAAAAAATAAAGAGGGCTAGACATGTAGCTCACTGGTAGAGCACTCCTGGATTTGATCCCTCATACCAAAAACTAAAAAAGAAAGATAAAAGAAAAAGAACCCTAGACTTTGGGCTGCATCCTGAGGGCAGTAGGGAGCCATAGAAAGGTGAGCACAGGAAGACTGTGAGCAGGGTAGAGGAAAGCACCAGGAGTCTGGTGCAAGAAGCCAGTGAGAACCATGGAGGCTGAGCCAGCAAGATGGTTACAGGAGACAAAAGGACACAGGGCACATATGAAGGAGCACCAATAGGACACAGGATATGAAGCCTGAGGAAAAGAGGACTCAAGGAGTGAATGGCAGTGGCCTTGTACTTTGGATCAAATGTGAAGAAACACGGGGATAAGCAGGCTGGAGAGCATTCTGGAACAAAAGTCATTTTTATTTATTTTTTATTTTTTGGTACTGGGGATTGAACTCAAGGTCTTGTGCTTGCAAGGCCGGTGGCAGAACCACTGAGGTAAAAAATCCCCAGCCCCAAAAAATCATTTTTAGATATGCCAAGCCCAAGGCGGTGATTAAACATGCAGTGGCCATGACAAGAAGGCAGCCAGTCTGGCATTGTGGGCTGGAGGCCTGAGGATCCTCAAGCTGTGATGGGCAGAAGGGCCCCAGGTTCCAGCCACAGGTGCACAGGACCCACGCCCTGCTTCTGACGGTGTGGACATCACTCTTAGGACTAGGCTACAATATACAGCAAAGGTGAAGGAACTCCTGCGGTGGAATGAGGTCACAAATAAGTTGATTTTTAGGTAAGTTAATAGGAGATATTTGGGGGTAGATCAGACCCCCCCCCGTGTGCCCCCAGCCTTTGAAAGCTGAAACTTTGTCTGATTCTTTGCTGGCCTTGGTGAAGGGAGCTGTGCTGCTGAGAGGCACCAACTGCCAGCCAGCAAGGAGAGGGACTTTGTCATACAGCCACAAGGAATGGAATGACACCTGCAGCCATGTGAGTTTTGAAAAGGATGCTGAGCACCCAAGGGGCGCACAGGCTGACCAACACCTTGCTTGCTGCCTTGAAATCCTGAGCAACCAAGGGCACTGGGATGCCTACCTCACGGAGGCTGGGAAGCACTAAATGTGTGTTGTTTTAAGCCACTAAGTTTGTGGCAATTTGCTGCACAGCAATAGATAACCAGTAGATGTATGGAAGTTTTTACAGCCTTGGAACCAAGAGGGCTCCAACTACCCAGGCACGAGACACAACCCACAGTGAGTCCATGTATGGGGACACTGGGATGGGAGTCAGTTCCTTCATAGGAGCCAGCCCCAACTCCCAACCGACCTGCACAGAACTTGCTTTCTACTCTCAGCCACTAGGTGTCCTCAGGGTCCCTGTAAGCAGGTGCCTTCCTTGCCTTTTTCAAATCAACATCTGAAGTGGAAGGGGCAAGGTATGTGTGTGCAGCTACTCAGGAGGCTGAGGCAGGCAGATGACAAGTCTGAGCCTAGCTTTCACAATTTAGTGAGACCTTGTCTCCAAAACCAAAAAGGCTTGGGATCCCTGGATTCAATCCCCAGTAAAATAGACACACGTGCGCACACCCACACCCACAAGTGAAAGGAACCAGAGCAAGAGATGCTTTCTCTCCTTGCCACCCACCCCCAACCTATGGGGCACCAAGGCCTTCGAGGGGGAGGCATCTTGCCAGTGGCTCCACAGCACCAGCACTGTCTCCCTCCTCCTGAGCCATCCTGAAGGCCAGACAGCCACAATTGTCTGCCCCCACCATGGGTCAGGGCAGTGAGAGTGCACTCTGGCATGCCCCGGGCTCAGCTGCAGCTCTGGAGTGTTTGGACTGGCATGGCCCCAGGGGTGGTGCTGATGGGTGTTGGTAATAGGAAGACTTGAGACTCAGGGAAACTGGGGGTATCTGTGGTGCCCAGCTGCCACTGCTGAGCCAGTGATCCCACTCCCACTGTCCAGCTCTTGGACTTCCTCTGATGCTGATGGTTCCCCAGAAGCAGACGCAGAGATTGAGTTGCAGGTGCAAGATGTTTATTAGGGACACCTGTGAAAAGAAGACTGGGCACAGGAAGAGGTCAAACTGTGCTGCAGGCCTGACAAAGCCCTGGCTGCCAACTGTACAAATGGCCAGGTGTGCACCCCATGCCTGGCTCAGCCACCAGGGCAGGCTGGTGGGCCAGGTGTGACCTCAGTGAGGTGTTCTCTCCAACCCAGGAGCTGACCATCCATGACCCTAAGCCCTTGCTAGGAGGGCCTTCTGTGCAGCATATGGCACCACCTTCCTCGCCTTCTCAACACTACCTCTTATAGGATTGTTTCCCAGCTTGCTTCCAACCAGTGGCTGAAAGGAAGCACTTAGCCTCTGCTCTTGGAGTGGGGAGAAGAGGCTTTATCTGAGTAGAGGAATTCACTGGATCTGGTGAACAAGTTAGGGGCAGGGATATCACGGAAACAGAGGGAAAGCCCTGGTCAGTTTCCAAGACACACCAGCCAGCCTCGTGGGGAGGATGACACAGGAGTTGACCTCATAAAGAGGAATCGTGGCTTCTGTTCCTTTCTGGTCATGCAGTGAGTCTACACTGCAGGGTGGTGTGTGCCCTACCTGTAGGCTGGCCCGGGGACGTGGGGCAGGGCCTGAACAGTACTTCCCCAGCAGATGGAACCAATATCCCAGGCTTCAGCTTCCCCAACTCTCAGCTTCCTCCACTGACAGTGGAGGAAGGAAATCTAAGGAGCACCATGTCACATCAGCCCAGGAAGCAGGTTTACTCCTTATCCTCATGTGACACATTCAGAAAAAAGAGCTGGGATGACTTAATCTGCTTAAGGTCACACAGGTGCTTGGGCAGGAGCTGGGCTTTGGGCAGTGTGGTCCTAACCTGCTTTTTAATTCTCATTTAGGGCAAGGTCAAACTAACCTGCCCAAATACCTGCTTCATTTGGCTCAGAGGTTTAAAAATATTTGAGTCAGCTTTCATTTTGAAATTATGATGACTCAGAAGCAGCAATGTCTCCAGCTTCTCTTGAAAAATCTGGCCATTTGGCTACCCCAGACCAAATCCCTACACAACTGGCACAGGTACAACTGGCAACAGGTACCCAGTTGCCACCCTTGAACTGGGTTACCACACCAGTGTTCACTCATTCATATTACCTGCCTGGCCTCTGCAGGGGAGGAGTGTGCTACCCTCGGTGAGGACAGGGAGTCCTGAGACAGGACACAGAGGTCCACACAGGCCAGGTACCTTGTCCCCAGATAGCCAGCTCTTCCTGCATAGCCTAGGTCCTATGGACTTGAATCTGGCAATCTGTTGGGGGGAGGGTTGAGGAAAAGCACAGACATGCAGAACCACAGGGCAAGGTCGGGGCAAATACACTTTATTCAGTCCTGGCATCAGACTGGCGGAAGTCCTGCTGCATGTGCCAGTGCCCCAGATGGAGGGACCCTTCCCCTCAGCTACTAGACTAGTTCTCCAAGACCACAGACAGTGACATCTCTTCACTCACATGACATTTTCTCAGTTTTTTCATTGTCTTTTTTCGTTTTCTTAAAAAAGAGAGAGAGAGAGAGAGAGAGAGAGAGAGAGAGAGAGAGCGCACAAGAAAGGCCCAGAGCCGGAGCACCAAGCTTAAAGGAGGCAGCTGGTGGCTTTGTCAGCGAAGGGAACGCGTGGGGGCAGAGACCTGTAGAGACCCTGGGCAGGGGTCCTGGAGGACTCTGGGACCGTTTGTTCCTGAGATTTGTGTATGTGAATGAGAGTGTGTGAGCCACCCAGAGGTGAACACACGCCGGCGATACAGGTAGTGAGGGTAGAGGGGATGTGGGGAGGCCGGAGGGGCGGGGGTTCAGTGGGGAGCTGGGCTGAGAGGGTAACAGCAGGCGGACAGGGTTTCAGGCACCCTGAACTGGACACATCTTCCTTACAACAGCAGCGCCATATCCATTTCTCAAGTGGAAAAACCGAGGCACAAATGCATCCTCCTCCAGGCCAGAATGTCTCCCCTGACCGGTAGGTGGTCACTCTCAAGGCGCTGTTTACAAGTGGGCTCTTTCCTGCCACCCATCTGCTATCCTGTCTCAGTTCCAACCCCCTAGCACCAACGTGGCTCAGTTTCTCCCACTGATACTGCAGCTATAGTTATTAAGGATGGATTTGGGTGACAAGAAGGGGACAGTGGGTTTAGGGAGGAGCCCAGGCTGGGAGGGTGCCCTGAGTTGAATAGGGCGCTTCCCCAGGGGAAGGGGGGTGGGAGCAGCAGGAATCCTGTTCCCAAACACTGTAGGTATCTCATTTCTAAATTTTCTTGGTCAATCCTTTTCTCTTCGATGGATTTCCAGAGAAAGATTTTCCTCCCAATTTCCAGTTGGGGAAAGGAAGGGACGTTCCTGGGGACCAAGATAAGCATTAATGGCAGTCACGCAGTTGGGAAGGTGGTGGGCATGGGCGACCCCATCAGGGAAGAGGGTCTATGGAACTTGGAGTCTCAAATCCCAGCCACCCCTTCTGAACGATCTAATTTCTTTCTCTCCCTACTAAGTGCTCCTCCCATTAAGGTAGTGACGCCCCGTCAGGTAGAGAGGAAGTCAAGGGCTCCGGGACCAAAGGGTTTCTCAGGATCACTCCCTGCTCGACCCGTCCTTCTCCGTACAGACCACAGAGACTGGAGGCGGTCCAGGGACCAGCCCCCTCCTCCCAAGTAGTATTAAGCATGCGCAAGGAGGGGGCTGGGCCCAAGCGCTCTAGGGTTGAAGGAGCGCGCCCCACCCCCGGGGGGGCGGGGCCTACGAAGAGCGCGTGGTGCTGTGTCGCCCCCTATCAAACTAGACAGGTTAGGCGAGGGCGGAGTTTCTCGAGCAAGGGAGGGGGCGTGTCCTCCGGCCACGAGGAGGGGCGTGTGCAAAGTAGGGGGAGGGGTGCAGGTCGGTAATGGGGACAGGAGGTGTAGCGGAGGGGGTCTGGCTGCTGGTGGCTGTGAGGGAGGGGACAAGATGAGGAGGAGCTTGGCTGTCAGGGAAAGGCTGGGGGTTGGGTTGCCTTGGGGTGTGTCCGCGGAGGAGGGGTATGTCTGGATCCGAGGGGGGGATGGGCACGTCTAGGAGGGGAGAGGCTGCGCGGGAGATGGGGTGCCAGCCTCGGCCTCCGAGGGGCCCCAATACCTGATTCCTGTATGTAAACAGCTGGTTTGGGGGCATGCGCGCCCCGCTGACGGAGGGCTCAGTAGGTGAAAACCAGGTCGGCGATGCTAGACGGGCGCCAGTCCCCTGCGATCATCTCGGTGACCTCGGGGGTGCAGTAGTCCGGGAACTCGAAGTGTGACGTGCCCGAGGCAGGTGGCAGGTCCGGGTCGCGGTCCAGGGCGGTGCAGTCCAGGCCAGTGGGGACGGGGGGCAGCCTGGACAGAAAGCCCAGGGGCTCCTCCCCCGACGCCACCGTCTCCTCGCCTTCCTCCACCGCTGCCGCCTCCTCCTCCTCCAGCTCCTCGTCCTCCGATGGGGTCGGGGAGGCGGCGGGGGCGGCCGCCCCCTCAACCGACGGCCCTTGGGCGCGCTCCGCCGGTCCCCGGGCGGCCCGCCCCGCCGGGACCATCCGCCACAGCTCCCGCCCTGGGGTCTCGACTAGGCGCACCTCTAGTAGCTCCTCGTCGTCGTCCTCATCGTCGTCCTCGGGCGGCGCCGCACTGCCCCCCAAGGGCCCTCCCGCCGCCCGGCGGGCCCCGCGGCTCGGCAGTTGCGGCCCGGGTTTGAGCCGGCTGCTACCACCGCCGGGGGGGCGGGGCCGCGCCTTGGCGGGCGTCCCCTTGCTCTTTTTGCGCGGCCGGTACTTGTAGTCCGGGTAATCCGCCATGTGCTTGAGGCGCAGCCGCTCCGCCTCCCTCACGAACGGGATCTTCTCTGAATCCTGCAGCAGCTGCCAGCGGCGGCCCAGGCGCTTGGAGATCTCGGCGTTGTGCATGTCGGGCCACTGGTCCATGATCTTCCGCCGCTCATGCTGCGACCACACCATGAACGCGTTCATTGGCCTCTTGATGTGGCCGCTCGGGGTCTTGCACCAGCCGGGCTCGCGCGCCCCCTCCTCGGTCGGCCCGGGCCCCGGGGGCGGCGGCCCGCCGTCCCGCTTCGCCCGCGCGCCCCGCTGCTGCACCATCGCGCCTGGGCCCGGGGCCGCTAGACGCCGCCGGGGGCCGTCCGCATCCTCCGCGGCTGGGGGTGGGGGAGGAGGCAGCGGCGACTGAGGGGCGGCCCCGCCCCGTGGCTCAGCCCGGCCCCCGCGAGCTGGGGAAAAGAGCTGAGCACTCGGGCCCACCGGACGGCTGGGGGAGGTCAGCGCCGCGGTCTCAGGCGGGCTCGGCGCGGCCCCGCCGCCCTGGGCAAATTGAGCCCCGCCGTTCGCCACACATTGTTGTGCGGGTGCGGAGGAATCGCGCCCCCCGGGCTCCGTGGGCGCTTCTTGCAGCCTCCGGCTCTGCCACGGCCCGCGCGCGCCGCTCCCCGCCCCGCCGCCGCCGCCGCCTTCCAGTCTCTTTTTCCCTGCGCGGCCCCGCCAGCGCGCGCGCCACCCCTCCCCCTCGCCGTCTGCGGACCGCTGCCGCTGCAGCGAGCGCGGGGCCGCCCCGTGTAAACACCGAGGTGCCCGCCTGGGCTGCTGCCGGGCCACGCCTCGCGTTCGGGCGACGCGTCACCCGTTGCTGGGCAGAGAACCCGGTATTTGCATCTCCCAATCGCTGGCCGCTGGAGCTGGGCGGGTCTCGGGCTGCGGGCTGGGGGTCTCGGGCTTGGGATGGGGGAGATGGATGAGATCGGTTTCTTTTTTAGGCTAGGGGCTGGAGGGAAGGGGGGGGCGCCGAGCATGCTTCCCATCTGGCTCTCAAAGCTTGCACTCGCTCTGTGTGGCCTTTGTAGTATTAGCTTATTCAGTGACACCTGCCGCCAGGTGAGAACTCCCGCCCCTTTCTCTTACGTGGTCATCTTTTGGAGCGTCCCAGAGGAGAGTTTGGGGCAGCCAAGACTGAAGATTCTTAGAGGGACAGACTCACTTTGTCATAGCCCAAGCCTACTACACACAAGGTCCAGCCACGTATTAATGAGTACTTTTGGATCCAGTGAACGAACCCTCATACATATAGAGAAAAAGGAGAGGCACAAGGATACTGAGAAAGGAAAGACACCCACTTTCCAAAGACGAAACCCTGAGGCCATGTACTCTTTGATTCGAGTCCCAGGCTCACGCGCCAGTGCTCTCTCAAGAGCACCAAAGCGCCGGGCCACCGAGGTTCTCGCGCACCGAGGGCTTCAGCTTCTCAGGAGCCTCAAGCGGGCAAATTTGGAGGACGCGCAGGCCCACGGACCCAGCTCTGTTCAGGTGGGGCGCGTCGCCCCGCCCAGGCCGCGAGCCGCGTGCGGGCTGGGGGCGGAGCCGGCCAGGGGCGGGGCCAGTTGCACGCTGGTTGCGCGTGGCTGGGAAGGGCCTTGAGCTCCCAGCTCACCACGTGTGAGCCGGTTCTGGTACCACCTGCCGTGCGCCACCCAGGGGGAGGTCACCTTCACGGGCGTAGTGGGCCTGGGTGTGGGAGGCGGTGCGGAGGCTTTCCCCTGAGAAATAGGAGCTGGCAGGGGTCCGGATAAAGGTCTCAAAGGTGCCATTCCCCCGGGGCATAGCGGGTACCGTGAGGGGCGGGGAACGCGCCTCTAGTGGCAGGGCTCACCCCTCTCCAGGCCTGCAAGGACTGAGCCCTAGTGCGAGACTAGGGGACGGGGAGGGCGGGCAGAGGCGCGGCTCTGCGGCGCGGTGCCCTGGGTGCCTGGGACGGTAATTGGAGCATCCCTGGCGGGGGCGGGGGGGGGGCTCTTAAAGGCATAGTGAGCTCAGAAGGGAAGGCTCTGGTCCCGCCGGCCTGGTCCCGCCACCTCTTTGGAAGCTGACAGCTGAAAATCCCTGCGTTTGAATCTTCCCAACTGCAGCCTCGGCGGTTTATTGTTCCCCGAAGTTAGAATCACTGTGTTCATATCCCAGTGCCTCCTTTTGCTTATGCTTAAAATGGAGATAACATATTTTCTCCCTCATTAGGTAGGTGGCTTCACAGGTCAAATGGGATACTGGATGGAAACACATCCCTGACAACTAGTAAATGTTCAATAGACGTTATCTGGGACTAGATTTCTCAGTAGTTCCCCAGGTCACGACCAAATCTGAGATGCTAGCTTCAGGAGAAAAAAGTTGGTAGAGTGGGAATGGATTTGACGTTCTGGAAAAGGTATCAAAGTTGTGATTGTGAGGAAAATAAAAATTTTCCTGAAATTTCTAACACCTTTTCAGTTTTCTCATTTAATACTTATTTTATTTTAAATTATATGTGATGGGCAAAACCATCCTTTTAGTCCTTAGGGCCTCTCCAAGGTCGTCTTTGCCTCTATAGCTGCTGCCTTTCTTATTCCAGTGTATTTGAATCATTCCTAACCTCGTCCACCTCCAGATTGATTTGAACCAGGGGTTCACTATTGTCAGCAGGGAAAAGAAAATGGTATATCCATTATTCCCCCTCTCCCTCCATCCATGTATCCATCCATTCGAGAAATATTTACTAATACCTCTCCACAGGCCCTGGGATGGACACTGAGGAGCTTAAAATGGCTGAAGTTTAGCAGAGTCTAAAAAAATCTGTCTGCCTTGCCCTGTGCAACTGCCAGGACGCTTCACAACAGATAAGACATGCATGAGAGTCACTGAAGGAGATGTGTCTTTACTTTTTCTTTTTCCCTGAACAGACATTTATGCAGTGCGTTATTCTTTCTGAAACAACTCCCTAGAAGAGCAGACCCTTAACTGTAGAGGCACTGAACTGGAAACTAGGGCTACTGGGTTATAGCAATGACCAAGACAGAAGTATCTCCTCTTGCAGAGCAATTAGGGGTAACAGAAAAGAGCAGGTAAACAAGATATTTTCAAACACTGGTGTGTGCTATAAAGAAAACAAAGCAAGGTAGTGGAGTAAGTGACTAGAACAGAGGGCATAATAGAGATTGAAGGAGAGTTTAGATCTCAAGATAATGAGAAGCCATCCATACAGAGATCTGGAGGAAGAACTTTCCAGGCAACGGATGAACAGCAAGCACAGAGGGCTGGAGGTAAGAAGGAAATGGGGATGAGGTATTGAGGAACAGTGGGATGTGGAAAGTCTCTGGAGCAGAGAGCATGAGGTGTATGAGCAGAACAGGATGGGTTCCTGTGGAACTGGAACTGGAGGGAAATAGTTAAGGAATTCTCCAGGATGTGGGGAGCTCCTTCTTTCTTAGTTGCAGAGTGTTATAATCAGAGTTGTGCTTTAGGAAGATTAAGGAGTTTAATTGTGGATAGATTGGAGAAAAGACATTTGGAAGGGGGGAGATCAGCCAGAAATGTTGTTGTGTTTCAAAAATATGTCCACAAACTTTGATTTTTCTTCCTCCCCTCCCCCAGTTAAGTGTGAACTGAATGTACTGACTTGCTTTTAATAGAATATAGCAGAAATGATATGTAACATCCAAGATTAGGGTTTCCTCCTTGTTCTCTGTCCTGTGTCACTTGTTCTGGCAAATGCCAGCTGCTATATTGTAAGGACACTGAAGCAGCCATGGGGGAAGGCCTATGTGGCAGGGGACTACAGACTGCAGCCAACAGCCATGTGAATAATGTGCCATCTTGGAATGAGATCTTCCAGCCCCAGTCAAGCCTTCAGAATAGTGCATCCCTGGCCCTTTCCTTCCTTCCTTCCTTCCTTCCTCCCTCCCCCCTTTCCTCCTTCTCCTCCCCCCTCCCCCACTGTACTGGCCATTAAACCCACGACCTCTCCTTTAAATTTTCTTCTCTTTTTTTTTTCTGAGTTTCACTAAATCACTAAATTACTGGGCTTATATTTGCAATCCTCCTGACTCACCCTCCCAAAGTGCTGGGATTACAGGTGGCACAGCTCCTGTGGCTGGCTGCCTGGCTTGCTTGCTTTCTTCCTGTTTTTTTAGTGCAGAGATTTTTTTTTATTGTTAAAGGAATTTCGTTTTAACCATTCTTTTTTTTTAATTGGTACATTTTACATATACATAATGGTAACATTCATCATAGGGAATTTGTAAGTGTATGTGATATATCTTGCTGCTTCGTTTTTTCCCATTCCCCTCCCTTCCCTTCAACACTTCTTTCCCATCTTATTTACAAAATCTTTGTTTCCATTTTTTCCTTCTATTTTTCTCTTGTCCCTTCCTTTCCCCCTCCCCCTCCCTTGTTTCCCTTCTCTTTTGAACATTTTCTTCCTGTTTCCCAATATCTATTGTACATTTTGGTCTTTATTTACACTTTTGGTTTCTCACACCAGAAAAACAATGCAGCATTTAAACATGTGTGTCCGATTTATTTCACTTAAGAGTACTGTCTCAAGGTACGTCCATTTAGTTAGAAATGTCTCAAGCTTATCCTTCTTTAGGGCAGGGTACTACTCCATTGTATTAAAAAAAAAAACCCACATCTTCTTTATCCATTCATCAGTTGATGGGCATTTGGGCACTTTCCAGGTTTTAGCTATTACAAATTGTACTGTTCTGACATGGGCGTGCATGTATTACTGTGGTAAGATGCTTTTAATTCTTTTGGGAAGATATCAAGGAGAGGAATAATTGGGTCAAATAGAACCTTTTTTAGTTTTAGTTTTTTCTTTTCTTTTTTTTTTCTTTTTGGTACCAGGGATCGAACTTGGGTCCTTGTGCTTGCACAACAGGCAGCGAAACCACTGAGCTAAATCCCCAGCCCAAGTTTTAGTTTTTGGAGAAATCTCCACGCTGATTTCCATAGTGGTTGCACCAGTCTACACCCCCACCAACAGTGGAGAAGGGTTCCTTTTCCTCACAGCCCCTCCAGCATTTGTTATTGGTTGATTTCTTGACAATAACCATTCTTTCTGGAGTGAGATGGAATCTCAGTGCTGTTTTGTTTTGTTTTGTTTTTGGTACTGGGGATCGAACTTGGGTCCTTGCACCTGCGAAGGAGGCAACAAAACCACTGGGCCAAATCCCCGGCCCCAGTGTTGTTTCAATTTGGTTCTCTTTTTTTTGGTACCGGGGATCAAATTCAGGACCTTGCGATTGCGAGGCAGATTCTCAGTTTCACTGAGCTAAATCCTCGGCCCTTA